GCAATTAAGTACTTAATTTTGAGAAGTATGAGAGATAATTTGACTTGGAACCTGCAAATCATTGCAGAAGGCTACCATTTAAGCTCACCAAAATGATGATGCTTGAATCACTTCATTTACTTGTCCATGAATATATATATATATTCACACAATTTTATTTAATAAGGTATTTCAGTTTATATTTCCATCAGTTTATAAATTTTTTGTCCAAAATAAAATATTTTATAAACGAACTTATATTATCATCTTTTAATATTTTTCACATACTATTCACAAGTATTTTTTGAACTTATAATTAAATTATTTCAATTTATAATACTTTAAAAAAAATAATTTGTCACCTCTACTAACATCACGATTACTCGATTTTTTAATCAAATATTTGATCTTTAAATTAAAAACAACGTGTTAAAAAATTAAAAACACAAATTTATTTGTCTGTAAAAATTATGTAAAAACACAGAGAATGTCAATCAAATTATGTAAAATTAATATTAAATAATTCAACAATTAGGTGAGTTAATTTAGTATTTTACAACAAGTTTTGTCGATTTAACTGATGGATGATAAAACCATTTTTAAGTAGATACAATTATGCAATCTAACACTTAATATTATAAATTTTTATACAAGGTTAGTTGTAGAACAAAATATTAATTGAACAATTTAATATAGCAGGAAAATTATTAATCTCAGGAATTTAAGAAGCTGTGCTGGTGCATGAGTGGAGTATTTTTGTGGCGTCAATTGCACACATCCTAGTGTTTAGAGGAAACACAATAATGTCAGGGAGAAAGAACGTGCGCAGATTAAAGAAAGCACGAAATTTTTTAGCTTCGTAATGATTATAAAGGTAGGACCAGTTTTGCAGAAATATTTCACAGGACATTTTAATTTCATATATGGACAGCGTGGGAGACTTCTTCGATTGCAAAAAAGCAAAGGAAAAAATGAAGAAACCATTAATGAGACTATGGTGGGAACCAATATATTCAATGGAAAACACCAAATAAAGAGTAGGGAAATTACGAAGAAAATTCCTGTATTTATAGTATACTTGAGTAAAAAGATACACATGTGTAGGTCCTTATCATTGGGACACTCTTCATACCAAGCAAAATGAAGAGTCGGCATGGACGACCCTTTACAAAAGCAAAGACTAAAGCCATCTCACATTGTAAGAGTTTAGTTGTGGACCCATCTTCTACTATACTTCATTGCTAATCCATTAGATTATTTTTTAATCCTAAAGAGTAAGTAGTAAGTGGTATACAAGGAGAATCTATTCTCTCTTAAAATATATATAAATCAAAACCATCAAATGTGCGGCTTTATTAGCGTACAAGGAATTTTGTGTTATCTAAGGTGTCTGATGAATTGGTTATGTGCAAGTATTTTGACACCAGAGTAAAAAAAACCGAAGACCTATTTTATTATATTTTATCATCAAAATTAAAACAATCAAATCATATGAACTTTTTAAAAAGACAATTTTTTGAAGTGGTCACATAAAATTAAGTATATATATTGTATGGTCCAAATTTATTCACTTTACTTGTTCTTTTATTTGTTGATGACTATTTATTTTTTTTTAATTGGAGGCAACCAAGATAAAAACTACAGTGAAATAAGTGGAAAAACAAAAATTACACCATCATATGTTCACTGTGGCAACAAACTTAACTAAGAGTGGGGAAGAGCTAAAGATAAGCAGTTAATTACCAATTGCTTTTTCCAGGTCCAACCAACCTCACTAGGAGAAACCTCCTTTAGGTATGGTGAAATGTAATAATATTGATGTTGCTGTTTTTCTCCTCCAAAAGATGTTTGGTGTTGGGTTTTGTATTAGGGATGACGGGAGTTTTTCTTTGCACAAAAGTAGTGCTTTTAAAGGGTTATATCCCAGTTGTGGAGGTAAAAGGATTGGCTCTTTTTATGCAGTTGCTTGGTTAGCTGATTTAGATTTCTAGCAGGTTGCCTTAGAGATGAACTGTAAAATTGTTATTGATGTCGTAAATGGTAACTGTATAGCTCATTCTCAATTAAGTGCTATTCTAACTTCGTGTAAGAATAGCCTTAGTTCTTTTCCACACTTTATGTTATGTTAGGAGATATATTAATCTTATTCTCATTCCTTTGCAAGAACAGCAAAATTCTATGTTGCTTACTAGGTTTCTAATTACATTTCAACTTTATCTTTGACTCTAATATATTTTAAATGTAACGAACTTTTTTTTATATATAAAAAAAATTTGTAACCTTATTCCCTTAATGAAATGTATGATCGATAATCACTTCTCTCTTATAAGGATTAATATTTCTTATTTTATTAACAATTTCTTAAAAATGTAATAAAATATTATCCTTAATGTGAATCATCTTGATAATTTCAATAAAGTAACATTTTTTATATACTTTTTACTATTCATTATTATTATTTAGAATTTTTTTTATAACGAGGTATAACCTTTTATTTTTTATTTTTATTGATTTAACTCTTATAAGAACAAAATGATATCTTCAATTGTAACTTCATACTTAATTAATGTGAAGATTAAATTCTGATCTTTAATTAAAGAATACAAGTACATAATTATTTGAATTAATCAATTAAAAAGTGTAAGACATGTTAAAGTTAACCTATATGTTGTTTTTTTAATTGAATTTAGACTTGATAGGAAATTATTTTTACATGAAAAAGTAACTAGAAAGACCAACAATGATATGTTTTCAAAATTTATATCCATAATTGTATATGAGACTATTGTTTAACTTTTAAAGTCTGTTTATTTAAGATTTTTCTCGATCATTTTACATAAAATAAAAACAATCTCAACTAGTTTGATAGAAAATTATTTTATAGTTAATATCCATTATTGACCTTTGATTATTGATGAATAATTAATTTTTATATATTAAATATAAATATATATTTTTTTGCGATAATATTTTTAGAGATATAATATTGATTTATACAAATACCTATTTATACAAATTTTAAATATAATTTATATATTCAAATATAATATTTATTTATGTATAATTTATTATAAAATTTAGTTATATATAATAAATATTTGACTTATGTATTATATAGACTAAAATATATATTAGTACTATATTTTTTTTTGTTGATAATTTATGATTTCCAGTTCATGGTATTTTATATATATATATATATATTATAATTGCATTTTGCAAATAATCTTGATTGAAAATCATGAGGAGACGAGGAGGATTCTCCTTCCTTTAAATACACTCTAACTCTTAGAATGTCTTGCTTGGAAGCATTAGCGAGGCTCTATCAGGATTAAAAAATTATCTCCATTTTGTCTCGTAACCCCTAACATGTACCATTTAAAAAATATAATCATATTATCATACTAACCAAAAGGTGGGGGGATAATCAATTAAAATGAAAGCCTCTTCATATTTAACTGATTAGTTATGCGATAATGGACAAAGCTTTATTACTTTAGCCATAATGACTAAACAAGTACAACAACACATAAACATGAAGACAGGAGAGTAACTATTAAATAAACCAAAATTAACCTGAACATGCATCATGCCAATCTTTATTAGGTATTGGTACTCTTCTATTCATATTCTAAATCACAATCAAGAAAACGAAAGCTGGGGTGGGGTTTGTTATACTTCAAGGTTAGAACACATTACACATGTTTAATTTCATATCGGTTTTTGTTGGAGAACAACTGTAAACTGTGGAAATTTTGGAACCGTTTCTTGCTTTTTCAAAAAAAGCACTTTTGCTTAGTTAATATTTTATATAACTAAGTATCAAACCGACCAGTAATCACGGTAAAAAAAAATGCAGAAATCATTAATTTGGCCCGTTAGCAAATGCATGAATCGTATTCTTTTTCCAAATATTTAACCCGGATATAAAAAAAAATGGAGGAAGAAAAAAAAAAAAAGACAAGACAAGCAAAAGGAAACAAACATCAATAGAAAATTCACGTCCATAATGTTTTACGTCTTGAAAGAACAAAATAAATAAATTACGTCTATAGTGATGATGTCATTATGTTCTGACAATGATTTTAATTTTTTTTTTTAACAATGAAAGTCATAAATTCGTCTATGGTAAGGAATTCCTGAAATATCACAAGTTCAATAATTAGATACAAGTTTGCTAAAATGTTCCTAGTTTTTTGATATATCGCAATCTTATGAATCTGTGTGGATAGAAAATAACGATTTTAATGAATAAAATTAAAGAGTAACTTCCTTGAAGAAAATGTCTATACGAAAAGGAAAAGAAAACTGTAAAATTGATTGAAGAAACATGTTTGATCGAAGAGAAGATGGAAAAATAAGAAGACATAATGAAGCATTGCGCAGTTTGACACAAAATTTTGTCATTATTAAGTAGAAGAGCAATCCCTTGGAGATTGAACATGTCGTAATTTATGATTGCTCGTTGCTTAACCTACATATTAGTTGTTGACTAATGTAGAACGACTTTTGTCAAAAACGTTGAGATTTCAATTCCATCTTTCACCAACTTCACGAGATACTTTAGTAATACTAGCACTAATCATACCCCACTCCATCATCCATTACTTTTTAATTAATTACTTAATTAAATGTATTTTTACTCATTGAATTTTTATTTTTCTCTTTTTTTTATTCTTTTAAAATTTGAAACTATTTTTTTTAGTCTTATTAATTATTTATTTATTAAAAAGTTTAGTGACTATACTATATATTATTCACACTTGATGATGATATTAGCCACGTGATATTTTTAAAAAAAATATTGTTTATCTTTATTAAAATGATGATTAAAGATTCAAAGTAATAATTTTAAATTTATGAAAAAAAATATTTTTTTACAAGAAATAAAATAAAAACCTGCAGATTTTAGAGAAACTAAAAGAATATTAAAGTGATAATTACGAAAAAGGAAATATGAAAAGAGTAGTCTTTACAGTATAAATTGGCATTTTGAAGATAGGCATAGCTATACTGAATTTACTCTCTTGTATTGAATTGAATGTGGGAATCTCTTAATCAAATTAATGGTTGACACTTGCTTGTTGGTTAAACTCTCTTTCAATCCAAGTTTTCATTCTGCTGTGGCTCGAGTCAATTGTCATTGTCATTGTCACCCTAACAATTCGTTTTCTTTGTCTCTCTATCCAACTAGCCAGTTGGTTATTCTTTCTACCGGTGGTTGCCAAATCTTGGATTTAAACTCTTCTTTCACTTCTTTGCTGCAAAACCTGCTTGCTAGCACACAAAGCAAATTTTTTAGCAACTTTTGAACTTTCTTGTACCTTTCAACTAGTCTTGAGGTATCTAGTTTTTCCATTCTTTTTCTCATGAGTTCTACTCTTTCTTGGAAAAAAAAAGTGCTTTTTGAATTTTGTCAGAGAGAAGTGAAGTGTCTGGCTAACAAAACAAGGGACAAGTAGATGTGTGGAAAACTCAGAAGAAAGATGAAGCCTTGTACTTCATTGTTGTTTCTCAGTTTGATTTCCACGCTCTCTTTTGTGGCTTCTGACATCGTGCCCCCAAACGAAGGTATGTGCTACTTTGATGTTTTCACTTCCTCTTTTAGATCTCAGCTATTAACTCATGTAGTCATGTTATACTCTCTTTTAAGGTGGTGTGTTAAGTGTCATTAAGTAACAAAGATTTGCAGGTAGCTCTATTTCTTGTGTGAACTTGCATGTTCTGAGATTGTGTGATTGGTTTAGCTTTTCATGGCGGTGGTCTTTTTGCCTTGGTTACAAAATATCTTTTTATTACGGAGTTCATCGCAATGAAATTGAATGAAGCATTTGCATTGTTTCTTTCTTTTCTTGATAGTTTGGGCGCTCAGGAGTTTCAAAGAAGCTGTTTATGAAGACCCATATCAAGTATTATCGAATTGGGATACGTTGGAATCAGATCCTTGTAACTGTTTTGGCGTCTTATGCACTTTGGCTCGAGATCACGTCATCAAGCTGTAAGATACTATTGGTCTTCACTGGCTGGTGCTTTTTTATGTTGTTAGTGGTGGCGGTGGGGTGTACTGTTGCTTTTAGACATGGCTTATGGCGTGAATTTCTAAGCTAGCATATTCCTAGTAGGCCAGTACTAAAGATTGGGATTCTTCTTTGCAGAAGCGTACCAGGATCATCATTAAAAGGGTTTCTTGCACCAGAGTTGGGGCAAATCACCTACTTGCAAGAACTGTATGTTCAATTTTTCTCCTAGCCATACTTCATTCTGAACAGTGAAAACCCTTGGTTTAGTCATATTGTGATTAACAACTGTCTTGGTTCTGGAATATGAAGCTTGAAGCTAATTTCTGGTTCTTGTGTTTATACAGAAATTTGCATGACAACAATTTCATTGGAACAATACCTAGAGAATTGGGTGTGTTGAAATCTCTCAAGGTGTTGGATTTGGGAAGGAATCAGTTAACGGGACCAATTCCTCCGGAGATTGGAAATCTAACCCAAGTTGTGAACATGTAAAAGAAATTCAGTATGCTCTTCTTATATAGATAAAATTATTGACTCTCATACTTATTCAAATTTATTTGAATTCCTATAGAAACTTGCAGTCCAACGGGTTGACTGGTAGGCTACCTCCAGAGCTTGGTAACTTGAGATACCTTCAAGAACTTCGGCTGGATAGGAATAGGCTTCAAGGACCTGTTCCTGCTGGTGGTAGCTCAAATATTGCTTCAAATAGGCATAGCATGTGAGTGTAATTTTTATAATTGAGTTGTTATAGTTTGGTTCAGGGATTCATTTATTATTCATCTAGTTTCCTTATCTGGTTAATAAATCTTTCTTTTTCTGCGTATGGCTATAGACTACAGGCAACAATATATATGTTGCACATAGCCATGGTCAGATGAGCTAGTATTTGAGCTTGATTTTGGTCTTGTATACAATTGATTGGTTGCAAATTACTGTTTCCATCAAATGTCACTTGATTCGTTACTTGTGACTAATGCAAATGGAAAATTCTATATATGCAAAATGGAATAAGATAATTTGTTATTGGCAATAATGTCATGTTTTCCACATGTTGTTCAAGAGCCATTCAATATGTAAAAGGATTTCATTAAGGAGGCTTAAATGACCTTTGGGATATGAATCAGCTTAAAACTGTCTTGGCTGGAAAACATGTAGTCTAATTAAACATAAACTATATATAATCAAGTTACACCAGTCAAAGTTTGAATTTTGTTAATCTGTCTCTTATAATTTGTATAATTTCTTCAGGTATGCATCAAAGGAGAATGTAACTGGCTTGTGTCGTTCGTCTCAGTTGAAAGTAGCAGATTTCTCATATAATTTTTTAGTTGGTAGCATACCCAAATGCTTGGAGTATCTTCCAAGGTACTCTACTGATACCTTGGTTACCTTGGCATTCTACTCCTCCACTATATTTAGTAAACAATAACATATACTATGTCTAGCAGGTTAAGCTTTCAAGGTAACTGCCTCCAGAGCAATGATTTAAATCAGCGGCCTTCTATTCAGTGTGGTATGTATTGACATGACCTTTTAAGCGTTCAAAATTGGAGGCATGAATTACATGTTTCTTCGTAAACATCTCATAAAATTTGAATCATACGGAAGAGATAAAATGAGATGTTTTGACTTCATACTTTTACAGATATTCACTTTGTATTCCTCTTTTGAAATCCCAAGCCGGTGTTGGGAATGGATCTATGTGATATTTACAATTGGTATAAGAATTTTGTCAAATCCAACACACTGATCACTGGATAACGCTCTTTACCTTATATTGCTACTTCAAAATTTTCTATCTAATACTGAACTATTATTTCATAGCGGGTGCTTCACCTGCCAAGAGCCAGCCAGTGGTGAACCCATACCACCAAACTACTGAATATGTGACCAACCATCATGGAGCATCAAAACCTATTTGGCTTTTGGCTCTAGAAATAGTAACTGGAACTATGGTGGGCTCTCTCTTTCTGGTTGCTGTTCTTGCAGCTTTTCAGAGATGTAACAAAAGATCATCTATCATCATTCCTTGGAAAAAATCTTCAAGCCAGAAAGATCATATGGCAGCAGTATATATAGGTATAGCATCAAGCTGTTTTTTTTTTTTTTTTCTTCCTACTTTCTATTTACATCTAACAATGTTCTAAAGCTGTTTCCAACATTAACGTGCAGACCCTGAGATGTTGAAGGATGTGAGAAGGTATAGCAGACAAGAGCTTGAAGTGGCCTGTGAAGACTTCAGCAACATAATTGGGTCCTCACCAGATAGTGTGGTCTACAAGGGAACCATGAAAGGTGGACCGGAGATTGCTGTTATTTCCCTCTGCATCAAGGAGGAGCATTGGACAGGATATCTTGAGCTCTATTTCCAGAGAGAAGTAAATGAAAAAACTCCAATGCCTATAGCATGCTAGAATGAATTTGGAGACAAATAGTTGTACAAATTTTTTAATACTTACTTATGCTATTCATGTCATTCAGGTGGCAGACTTGGCAAGATTAAATCAAGAGAATATAGGAAAACTACTGGGCTATTGTAGAGAGGACACTCCATTTACAAGGATGTTGGTTTTTGATTATGCATCAAATGGGACACTTCATGAACACCTACACTGTTGTAAGTCTAGTGTCTTAGCGTTGTATGTTTTAAGTGTTTCAGTTCCTTCAACATGCAACTATGACTGCAGATGAAGAAGGGTGCCAGTTTTCTTGGACACGGCGTATGAAAATTGCCATAGGCATTGCACGCGGACTCAAGTATTTGCACACAGAAGTGGACCCTCCATTTACTATCTCGGAGCTTAATTCCAGTGCTGTATACCTTACTGAAGAATTTTCCCCTAAGGTGCGCACACTACCTAGTTCAAATCTTCAAGTTTACAAATTACAATTGTGCTCAATATCTTCTTGTAGTAAAGAATGAGCAGAAATAGAGTAACATGTGCCGATGTTTATATACTATGTGTTATGTTGGAGATCCCAATGCTTGCTCAAGATTTTCATTGACATGAACTTCAATTGCAGTTGGTTGATTTTGAAAGTTGGAAAACAATTCTTGAACGATCAGAAAAGAATTCTGGTTCTATTGGTAGCCAAGGTGCTATATGTGTTCTTCCAAACTCCCTTGAAGCACGCCATCTTGATACCAAAGGGAACATATATGCTTTTGGGGTACTTCTGCTAGAGATAATTAGTGGGAGACCTCCATACTGTAAGAACAAGGGGTACTTGGTGGATTGGGTAAGTAATTTCCTGAAATTTGATGTATAAAAGTGTAGTTTTACTTTTACCGCTTCAGACAACCCTGAAAGAGCGTGCATTTCTACAAAGTTGTGTTTGTTAACGTATATATGTGCTGCAGGCCAAGGGCTACCTTGAAAGGCCTGATGAAATGTCCCACGTGGTGGATCCTGAACTAAAACATTTTAGATATGAAGACCTCAAAGTGATATGCGAGGTAATAACTCTTTGTATCGACCCTGATACAACTATGCGTCCATCTATGCGAGAATTATGCAGCATGCTGGAGAGCAGAATTGATACATCAGTAAGCTTGGAGATCAAGTCATCATCTTTGGCTTGGGCTGAACTTGCACTTTTATCTTAATACACTCAAAACTCAATTAACAGATCTAGACTAAATCAGAGACATACACAGCAGTAATACTTTTTCTGACTACTTTCTTCTCTTTTTTCTTTTTTACCCTTCGTGTTTATTTCTGTTGTAAATGATTGCTCAAAATGAGTTTGTGTTAGGCTTAAGCACGACAAGGTCTCGTTGTATAGCACTAGCGGGCTAGTAGAAGTCCAAAAAATGCTAAATAGAAGAGTATTGAATTGGACAAATGTTTTCCTTTGTGTATTCTGCCGAGCATTGTGTTATTCGTCTTGGACCCTTTTTCAGAAATCAGGGAGATTAGGGTACCTATATTATGATGTATGTAACAAGGGTGACTTTTTACAAAGCTTATAGTGGCGTTTTGAGTTAATATGGAAAATCTCTATCTAGATTATTATTTGTTGCGCTTGTTACCTAATTAAGGTACCCTGCTAGGCTTGTTACCTACCTTGGAAATGGTTTTTTCACCATCGAATTAGAATTGTTCTCCCAACTAACATCCATCATCCAAGGCCATGGGAGCAAAAATTATATAGTATTGAATTGGTGAGAATACTTGGATCTAGTTATTTCTCTTTAGCTTGTTTGGGTTTGGATGAAAACAAAGAAACGTTCTAATAGTCATGTCAGTGCCGTGTCATTGCCATGCACTGTCCCTTTTATTTCTAATTTTTGGACTAATGTAAATCACGACCATTTTTGTTTGTTCAACACATAAATAATGTACCATGTCCATAATCTACTTCAAAGGAGAAGTAAAAAAAAAAAAAAAAGGTATATAATAAATGCTTTTACATATAATCCTCTTCCAAGAAAAACAACCAAGTGGTTTATTGCCAACTTGGCAGAGCCAGCAATCAATAATAGATGATACTTGATCTCTTGAACGAGCCACTCACATTGTCTCTTGAAACTAACCAAGGTCAAAAGAAAACTAAACAAAGTCTGGAAGAATGACGCATTATAATAACACATGTCATCTTGGATTAGTCGTTGTTGAATCCAGGCTAGAATAAGCAATAACACCATGGCCCCCAATTTTATCAAACAGTTTGGAAAAGAAGAAAAAAAAAATTATAACTGTGAAGACGAGTTGAGACAGTAAAACGGGGGGGACTTAGAAGGCTCGCGCTTTCACAATGTCCAAGCTCATCTCACTTGGATCAGTTGCTTGCAGTTCAACTTGAATGCCATCCAGTTCCCTCTTGAATCTATCCTTAGAACTTGCATACACCATCTTCATCCTCACCTTTGAAGTGTCTGGTGACCTGCACTCAAACAATATTCAACAGCTTGTTCAAAAACCTGTCTTACTAGTCTTTAAGATATTTGCATTACTAGATAGAACTTGTTTGAATACAAGTTAGAAGTACTTTTAAGAATCTATCTATTTGGAAAAGCTGTTTATTTTCAGTAAAAAAATATTCAAAACACTTATAAACTTATATCTAAACAAACTCATAAGTTGAATGACAAAATTAGAAAAGTGATTTTGGCTTCTATTGAAGCCAAGTGGGAGATATTAATTGACCAAGTGCAGTTCTTGTAACAGTTTTGTATGTTGTAGACTAGTACCATGCAATGAAGAAGATCTTGCTTTTCTGGCAATTCTCATCAGTCGTGAAATCAAAATCGTAGACGGCATAACGACACTCGTCACCTGGCAAACTGGCCTGAAAATCGTCATAGCTTTCAGTTGATCCCCCTATTTTGTCGACCACAACTTGTTGTTGCTCAATTTTGAAGGTAATGAATCGGTAGATCCGCTTTGCCTTAAGCTCTTGGAACTTAAGTTTGCAGTCATCATGCACAGCCATTCCGGACGCTGCATTTGCCTGCCCCATAATTTCATTTATTTTTTTTTCATCAAATGACCTATCATTATTGTTAAGCTACACTTTCCCATTAAAATTCAAGATTGGTATTCATTCTTCGTCACAGGTCACAGCATGCAAAAAATTATCTTGATTTGAGTTAGGGTGAGAATTTAGAATTTTTAGGTAGTTCTGATTCCTAACTTGTGTTCCCGTGCACGACAGGTCCTTTTGTCGGGATATACATGAGACATTAAGAAACGTAGAAATGGTTTGACAATCGTTAACTTTTTGTAGGGTGCATGCATGCAAATAATGAAATGATTTTTCATTCTGCTAGAGATGCACAATTGATCGTATAGTTTGATAGAATTTTCAGTTTAATTAACGTTTCAGAAACTCAAGTTTCATCTTGATACGTGAAAAAACCATCCTACCTAAATGAAATGTGAAATATTCAGCAGTAATATACTGAGAAAACATGAGTATGAATTGGTGATAAATGATAATATTGACATGCAAAGGCGAAAAAGAAGATATAGAAAAAAGGAAATACCATTTTGCCAGCAATGAGGAAGAAGCGCCCTTTGAAAAGTGTATGAAAAGAAAGGGATGGGAGCGATAGAGAATGGAAAACGGGAGCAAGAGAGACTGAATGAAAATGATGAAGAGAAATAACAGATAAAGATCCTTGTTTTTGGGAGCCACGAGAGGTGGAACTTTGACAAGACTAAGATAGCGGTTAGGGAATGGAAACAGCATTAGAAAATTAATGGATGGCTTCCTTGTAATCTATTTTGCTTCCACATTTAGGAGAAGCCTTTATTAGAGAAATAAATCATGTACAAAATGATTTCCATTCCATTTAATATACACATTTTTTCATTTAGAGAAAAAGTATAATTGATAATCTTTTAAACAAATAAAGTCGCTGTTTAATAATGTTATTTGGATCCTATATTCGTTTTCATGTCAATCTGAACTTTTGGATTTTGGACCGTCTTTTATCAATATGAATGGATAGATGGTGTGTTAAGGCTGATGATATATACACCTCCATTTTTTTATACATACACCCCCTTTTAAAAAAATAATATTAAATTTCTAAATTATCCTTAATATTATTTGGAATAAAAAAAAATTATTCTGGAAAGTTTTTTTCGGAGATGTATTTGTACATAATTATGAAAAGTTCTTTCTAGAATACTAAAATTACTATTCCGGAAATAACTTTTCGTTGGAATAATTATGAAAAGTACTTTCCGTAACACTAAAATTACTATTGCGGAAAGTTCTTTCCGGAATTATGGTAACAAATACACACACGGTTAATATTCCGGAAAGTATTTTTCATAATTATTTTGACGGAAAGTTATTTCTGGAATAGTAATTTTAGTATTCCGTAAATACTTTCCGTAATTATTTTGACGGAAAGTTCTTTTCGGAAGGCTTATGATATATACACCTCCTGTTTTTTTTATAAGTACACCTTTATTTTTTAAAAAAAATTATAAAATATTATATATATATTTTAATTTTATACCTTTAACTTTCAATTTTCTATTTTTTTCTTTGTTTTTTCTCTTTCAATTTTTATATGTTACCAAAATAGGTGGGGTGAAGGAAAGATAACGGGGTGTATATAAAAATTGGAAAAAAAAAAAAGAAAAAAAAAGATCTGTAAAAAAAAGTTCTAAATTAAATGTTGTGAATATAAAATTAAAAAAAAACAAAAAATTGAGAATATTTTAAAATTTTAATTATTTTTTTTTAAAAGGGGTGTACTTATAGGAAAAAGGAAGTGTATATATCATCCACCTAAATTAGAACACGTAGGTACAGATTTAGGCCTGTTCTTTGATTGGGTCGGTTAGATAAATAACTAAGGCCTGAATAGTATGGGAATGTGGGCCATGACCAACTAATAATAAATGGGCCTTCCTTTCAGTCCAAGTCAACTTTGGTTGGAAGGCCTCTAAACGTAATCCATGACGTGTTTGTTGGCCCAAGACAAAAATGACACAATGATTCCAATTGTGACAATTTTTTAGTGCTTCCGTAAACGATTTCTCTCGTTTACCCCCACTCTTTTAATCTTCTTATTTTTAATTAATATGGTCATTTACATGGAATATGAGATTTTGATATTAATAATGCTACTATTCAGTATGTATGAATAATACTTGGAAAAGTAAAGAAGAAAAATAACTTGCTCCCACAGCGTTTCGAGAAATCTGGAAAGGATGGAAACAAAAAGGCAGAATCTATTTGGTTCGGGCAATTCTTCTAATTAAAATTGACCATACAAATCAATTTCATATGTAGGGGTGACCACGAATCCGACCTAACAGATAAACATATTTTATACCTCCATTTAATAATAAAAAATACCATGTATAAGTTAATTAATTTTTATAATAATTTATTTATTTTTAAAATCATATTAAGAATGATTTATGATTCGTTAATAGTGTATAAAAAATAATTATACACATTAACAATGTATATGGTATTAAACAATATAAATTGTAAATTTAAGTTTTACTATAATTTTTTTTTTTTAATGTGCTACATTTGGGTTCGCGTTTAAAACGCTCGTTTTAGGAAAAAGAATATAAGGACTTGTACAAGAACTCTAATTTTTCAAAATACTTTAAAAATATATATTTATTTTATAAAAAAATACTTTATAAAAAAAGAAAAATATACTTTTGCATTTTTTTTGATAGACAAAAATATATTTTTAAAAAATTCAAAAGAGAAATATTTTCACTCTTATTCTCAAAAGTATATTTTAAAGATACAAAATGCAATTAGAT